TTTTTATTTTCAACTTCTCCGAATTCATTTACATTCAAAATATTAAGCCAAATTGTTTTTGGCAGCAACTGCTTGAAATTCATTTTCTAAAGAGAAAGTCAAAAAGACTTCAACAAATGTTGAAATTTCCACATATCCCTACAAAGTGTGCATGTGCTCAGCATATTAGCATGTGTCATCTGCTAGACAAAAATTGCTTGCTACCACACTGTTGTTGTTCTATATTTGAATTTACCTTCATTGACAAAGCTCTTTCAAGTTTCACTGAACATAATCCTAGAACTTTCTACAAAATAGAATTTCTTTAGGGTATAGGGACAGGAAGTGGTATAGTGTTAAATAAAGTAGTGTTGGAACATGTTTAACCATGTACTACAGGGAGGGGGGCAAAATAGTGGTAGTACAGAGTTTTGTCTAAAAAAACATACAGGTACACCATTCCCCCATGTTCCCACCCTACTAAAAGTCTGGGTGCAGAGTAATCATAGGCCTACTGTGATATGGCCAATATAATAGTATATGTTGTGCTTCAGCTCAAATTGATATTAATGTAAAAAAATGTCAGGTCTCTTTTGATGTTTTCTGAACTTTGTTTCTTTTTTTTTACATAATATAAAAATTAAAATACAAAAAATGGGGGATGTAGACTTTACCCCAAGACCCTCATTACTATTTCGTTTATTACACTGATTTCTACTTCTAGCTAATTCATATTAGTTCCTTCCATCTATTGTTTTTGTTTTTTTCTTTTCACTACTTTTTCAACTGTATAACACTAATAGGTATACAAGTCAAATGGCACAAATGAAACAATAAGACACTGTAATGATAAGTGTATGTTTCTCAGATTTGTCTTTCTTTGTACACGTGTAGTACTTCTACAGTTTCAGTCTCATGTTTTTCAAACAGATAGTGAATTAATACTTTTAATAAAAAGATTTCTTAATTCAACCACATTCAAAATTATGGTATTAAATACGTTTGATAACTCTTGCTTACAGTATATTGTATATTGAAACTTAGCCAACAAACAACCATGTCTAAATACACAAAAGATTATGCGCTTCTAAATACCACAGACCCATAGATCGTTGATATATAATAAGACACTGTGTGCTACACATAACAGTTACAGAAAAATAGCCGAGGCAGCTTCACATGTATCCATGTTAGAGGGCCCACAAATTTAAAGCTATGTAACATAAATATACTAAGCTGTTGAGCAAAAGCTTAACTTTTACCACAGTGTGGTAGTTTTTACTTGGACATCGGGCTAAGTGAGCAAAACTTTTAACACAGCTATACTCTTTCTTCAGTTTACTTTCACCAACATTATTGTTTATTATAACTATTGAAATTAATTTTTATTTTATTTTTTTTATATAGATTATTTCACATTATTAGCCTAGTTTATGTATTTAGGGCAAACCTAAATTTACTAAGCTCACCAAACCAAGTATAATTCTTCCATGTTGTAATAGTTCTTAATTTGGCACAAAATCTTGATTAAAATATTTAGTATAACTACTTTTATGTATTAGTTAGCTCCACCCCAAACATCCAGTGGCTCAGTGGTAAGTCTGTAGTATTAAAACACTACAAATTAGGTTTCTATACCTGCAATGGACAGAGCACAATTAGCACATTGCATAGCTTTGCATTTAACAAAAATATATACATATATTAGTTAATTATTTATAATTCTTTTTTCATGTCTATTTTTAGTATAATGGTTATTCTGCATTGTTAGCTCAGATATTATCAGATTTACAGGTTAACAGCATTGGTGCCCACCTGATGAAGCAATGCATCCTAACAAAGTTGTAGTTTAAAAACCAAAATCTAACAGCATTAGGAACCAATATGCCTAAAATTTATGCCCAATATATATATATATATATATATATATATATTCTACTTTCC